ACAAATGCTTCTATGCATTAATCTTTATTGGGCCTACAAAACAGAGAAACTCATTATATGGTTTTGATTTTTGTTTAAATCTAGCCTTCAATAAACCATAGTTAATAAAATGTGTGGATCCAACAGAGCAAAATGTGATTTTTCTGTTGGTCTTGTTGCTGGAATGAGTTAAACATGTTATAAGGACTGCATCTTTGGGCAGAACCATGCCTCCAGTTTTACCCCAACATGACACTGAGACATCCATCATTTATGGAGAGCAGGAACATATTATATCATTTTCAACAAATCCCCAGCTATATAACTCTTTAGACAACTTTTGCCTCTGTTGTCCAGGTCCACATCCAAATAGTTCAGTTTGCATTCTGCACTTCAATTCCTTCTAAGCAAATGCTTGCACTTCAGTTTGGTATTTGTATCTGTAGTGCAGTGTTTCTCAATCTTGGCAATTTCCAGATTTGTTGACTTCAGCTCTCAGAGCTTTCCTTCACTAGCCATGCTGGCTATAGAATTCTGGGACTTGAAGTCCACATGCCTGGGAATGGCCAAAGTTAGGAAACACTGCTATAACAGAAATGCCTCTTACTTTTTAATCACTAGTCACTGCCCTCCATTTAAACAACAACAACAACAATAACAAAAACAATGAACAAGTTCCTTGGTGGAATGTGGTCTGTTGTTTTTTTTCCTTTTAATAACCAATGAAACTGAAAGGAAATCTGGCACCTTCCCTTTTAAGCTCTAGCCACAAATGGTAATCCTATACTCTCTTTAGTCTCTTCTCTTCATCTTGGGTCAGGTAAGGAAATACCAGTAGCAGAATCCTCCAGCGAGGACTATTAATAAACATGGTGCATACAAAACATCAAGTAAGAATAAAGAAATGGGTTGAAATTCAAAAAAAGAATTTCTTAAGTTGGCCTCATTTGCATCCAGCTTTTGTGTGAGAGACAGGCCACTGAAGGCTTCAGTGTAGAAAAGTCCTTTGTCAGAAACCAGCATGCATATTGTTTTGAGCTTGGCTGCCAAAAGAGAAAGGTAGTGTTTTAACTGTTGGGAGGAAAGCAAAGAAATAGCCAATAGTTTAGGAGCATGTTTTTTCCTGAGAATTATTTTGACAATGTAAACATAATTACTTCCTCAATTAGCACTCAACTCCTGGAGATTTCATGCACAAATACAGGCCACATAATATAGAAATGGATTTAACTTTCCAAAGCAGTCTAAAGCTGGTGTCTTTTCTCCAAGTAATCTTGCTTAAATCTTCTCTAACCAGACCAGACAATGCTTAACTTTTCAAGATCCACAATATGGAAAGAAGACCTCATTTTTTGTATTTTAAGATAAGGTGATAAGGTATTAAAATTGTTTATACTTGTGATGAAGAAATTTATATATTTCTTTTCTTTTTCTTTACTATATTTTTATGTTTTTCTTTCTTCGCTATTTTTCTATTATTCTTTTCTGCACTTTCTATTTTTTTGGTTGTTGTTTTTTCCGGAAGAGGATATAATTAGGAAAAATTTGGATTGTACAGAAATGGATAGGCTTACACTGAAAATGAAAGGGAAAGAAGATACAGAATATTTTCAAACATGGGATAATTTTTTATAAATGGCTAGAAAAATGGAATAGAGAGTAGAAATGGAAGTTGTATTACTATTAATGTTAAATATATGAACTCAGACATGTTTATTAAGCACTAAAGATTTGTAACTATAAAAACTTAATAAAATATCTATTTTTTTATACATTTAGTTTGTATAGTTTGTATCTTTTTAACCGTGCCTTTTAATAAAATAGTAAGAGAAACAATGTCTTACTTCCGGTTATAGAATAGCAATCCTCTCCTTTTATTCCTCCAAATTTGACACAATTAAGGACCCATCTGAATAAATATGCATATGATTGCAATACAGGAAAACAAGTATTTGCAGCAATTTTGGGGGGGGAGTTGGCAGTGTAATATGGGAGGTCCCAAAATAGATTGTAATTGGGATTTGTGTGCATACTTTGTACCACCCCAAACTACCACTTACTTATGCTATGTATATTTGTCTTCAGTTTCATTTCCCATAATTAAAATCAAGCACAGCAACCTTAATGATATTGAAGATTTTTGGCCATCTGATCTATTTTATAAGCTTGACAATTTTACATAACAGTCTTATTTTTCTAGAATAGTAATACGAGAACGTTTCTTATATTGAGCTGGATATTTGCCCATCAAGTTTAATACCGTCTCAGCCGACTGGCACCAGCTCTGCAGGTTTCAGATTGGAATACTTCCCAAGGATTAATCCTGAAATTAATACACTTGGCTGGGATTTAGAATTATTTTTATCTTCTCACTGTAGATTTGACTTTTTTTAAAAAAACAACAACAACCAACTAACAGAATATACTTCTGCATTACTTGAATTCTATACTGTACTGCCAAGCAGGATTGCACATTTCTTCTTGGAATGGGAAATGTTGTGCCTGTTGCACATTTAATTTGAAAAAAAAGGACATTTTTAGTTCAGGTGTGGAGAAGCTTTGGCAACAGGTCTATAAAGCCTGATCTTGAGAAATTATTCTATTATGTCCACCCCACTTTTTTTAAAAATAAACTTCTGATCCAGCCAATGTATTTCTGTTTTTTGGCTAAAATCCTGAAGGGTTAAAATCCAAGAAACCCTACTGGAGGGTTAAAAGGCAGGTTTTTCTTTCTTTGGGAAGAAAATGAGATATATATCAAAGAAATAAACACTAGTATACTTTGCTTGGCTATCTTTTGGTCTAGCTTGGAATGCATGCTAGGATCTTCTGTCTAATGATAAAAGGCAAAGTTTCTTTATTCAAACTTGATTCTTAGTGACTTCATGGACACAACCAAACAGTTCATTTGCCATTAAATCACAATTGATCCTATTTAGTTATTCTGAGGCATGCTGAAATCCAACAAGGTACTCTCATTTAGGCTTGATAGAAATGCTTGGAACTTTGAAATGGCTTTTAGATTCATCCCAGACTTTTCTTTTAAGTGCTGGATGCAGTGTCGGTCTTTTCTATAGCCAAGGAAAGGACATGTCAGTTGGCTTCATACTTAGGCCTTGAAACAGAGCAACAGGGATTCTGAGTTGAGAGGTCATATCAGTTTATTTTATTGTGATGGTCTACTACATCATGGTGACACTTAAAATATATGGGCAACAGTTCTGTAGTATAATCTTAAACTCTATTTCAAAATGAAGACCTGTTGTAAGACAATAGGAAGAGACACACATACCCCACACACAAAGGTAAAAGTCTTACAGGTTCACTTAAGTTTGTATACACAACACAACTCTCTAATATTTAAATTGCTAATTGCAGGAAGGCATTATAAAATTAAATAATTCAAAGCTTTATTAATTTTTTATTCAAGGGCCCAAGCATTCATGAGATCAGCTGGGTGACTTTGGGCCAGTCATTCTGTCTCAACCCAACCCAGCTCACAGGAATGTTGTTATGGAGAAAATAGGAAGAAGGAGGAGGATTAGGTACATTTGTCACCTTGAGTTATTTATAATATTTTATAATAATAATAATAATAAAAAAGCAGGGTAAAAATAAATAAATAAAATAAATTAAAAAAATAAAACTGAAGCCCTGCCCTTTTTATTGTGCATATATACAAATTGTGCACTTTTAATCGCATGGTTGCAGCTGTAATCTTGACTTTCTTGACCCTCCACAGCTCTCAGTATCTGATCCGAAGAGACCAAACCCTTGACTGTCTAAATCACAGTTTATATTGTTGAAGGAAAAGTCTGGCTTCTGTTTGGGACAGAGAAACTTGGGGGCAGGGTTGGTTTCTGCTTTTAAAATCCTTTTGAGGAAATATATTTTTCTGCCTTTTAATATTTCCTTCTCTGGGGAGCTGACTTCCCTCGATATCATTGCTTCTGTTCTTGGTTTATGGGGCAACAATTATTTCCCATAAAAGGAAAGAGACTTCCTGTCTCCAAGCTCTATCTATGTCAATCATTATTTGGATCGTTCCTTGATTGACCAAAAATATATAAGATCAGGAGCAATTTTATTTTATTTTTTTAAACAAAAGGACCTGGTAGAGATGATACCATGTTTTGCTTCACATCTAGAATTCTGAAAGGCTTAGAAATCAGCTCCCCTATTTAAAACAATAAAGAAATACTATACAAACACATCGAGTTCTAACGCTTGGTGTGAAACTTGCAAAGTGCCTGTAAGGAAATGGGCTGTATTGTTAAGGAAACGGATTGTGCTGTTCTGCTGATTTATGTTTTTTATGGTTTCCATACTCTTTCATGGTTTTTGTTTTTGTCATGTCTTTGGTTATTTTGGTCCAGTATTCTTTTTTTTTTTTTTCCTCTGTGTGTGTTTTGAACTTTTTTTTTTTTAGTAAATTAAGCCGCCCAAAGACACATTGGTGAGGACAACTGTATACATTGGAGAAACAAAATAAATAAACCGGGGACGGGGGAAATGTCGTCGTCCTTGCAGACAATCATGGACCAAAAATCACGCACCAGATCTCTTAGTCGGGTTATGAGTCCAACTTTCCCAGTTTTGACGACTTTTCATTCTCCGCTATTTAATGCCAGAAGATGCCCCGGTCTTGGACCAAGCACGTGTTCGATCACTGAGCCCCGATTGCGCCCTATCGATGGGCTCGTTTCTCCCAGCTATGAGCCGCCGACCCATCCCCACCTTTACCCTCCCGCCCCAAGGGTTGTCGAGGTTTTGGCCCGCGGCCACCCTCACTGGCACTGGTGGGAGCCGCAGCCCCTGCAATCTAGAGAAGGAGCCCTCAGCGGAAGGGCTCTGTGCTGGGATACAGCGGAGCGTCCGACGGGAAGGCGATTCTCTCTCGCCGTTCAAGGCAGCGCCCCAATAGCCGCCGGCTTCTCTTTTGACGTCAGGCTCCGGTTATTAGATCCGCGCCAAGCCAACTGGAGCACCGAAACCCGAGAAGCGGTTGCAGGAGCCGAGAAGGGCCGCTAGGGGCGCTGCGGCATTTAAACGCGGCGCATAGCTTTCTCGGAGGCCGGTTGCACTATGAGGGGCTCCGGCGCGATCGTGCTACAGCTGGTCCTGCTCCTGGCCCTTTGGGGTGCCTCAGAGGCTGAAACTTCAGGTACTTCATTTCCTTCGTCCACTCGTGGGTCCCTTCTTTTCATTTGTCGGAGGGCGGCTGGAAGGCTCTGCAGCGACCCAGGCGGAGTCATCCTCGGGTCGTCTTCCAAGGGGACTGCTAAGTCACCTTCGTAGAATCCACTCTCAGCCAAAGAAGGGGGGAAAAAAGTACTTACCCGGTACGAGCAAGGCTCCTTCTTTGGGAAAAAGACGCTGAGCAGAACCCGTCTCCTAGCTTTATAATTGGGTATCAATGCATCCGACCTGCCTGCTTTGCGGCATTGGGACTCGATTCCCGCGCCCGTCCTCGCGGCCAAGCCCGGAAAACAGATTGTGATTATGAACATTTTAGATCATGGTTGGATTTATGTAACAGTATGTAAGAGATCACCATAGTCCCCAAACCTCGCTGCCTCTAAATTATGTATTAATTTACTTGAATGAAGGTGTGTGCGTGTTGTGTGTGTGTGCGCTCGCCCGCCAGTGAATGGTGAAGTACCTAAAGATGGGCAACAGTTGCTGAGAATAGAAGATGGTGCTCTTCAGGCACCATTTCCTGTGATTTTAACTTAGCATTGCTGTGATAATCACTGGCAACTACTCTTAATAAAGCAGCTCTTTCACATCTCATTCCTTGATTTCTTTTCTTTTAGTTTAGAACATTGTTGGATGTTTTATTCCACAGTATATGTTCCTGTTGAAGAGAACCCTTGCTGCACTAGTGAAATGGACTCTAGTTTATCTCTAGCCTATAAAGGTTTATGTTCTGCAAGCCTGTTAGATTCCTCACTTTTACTATTTGACTAAAGTCAATACTGGGACAAAGGCATTCTGAAAACTCTTGATGTTGATTGGTGCTTGTTAAAAGATGGGGAAGGCTGGCATTAGAAGAATTCCTTTTATCAGACATTATCAGCCATATGTGTAGGAGAGTCTCACAGCCTCATGGATGAGAAAACAAAGTCTAAGAAGTATAATTGATCAGTTGGGCGCATTTAGTCCAGCAAAAAGAAAATTAAGAGGTGATGTAGTTTGAAAAACATAGATGATGATAGACCAAGCCAACAAATTTGGGATGTTTGAAACTGGTGGGGAGGGTGTGACTGAAACTTAGGAAGAATTTTGCATTTTGGTACCGGGCCAGAAGCAAGACAATATTTGAGATCTCTCCCCAATCAGTAATTCTGTGACTGTATTGAGGATACTATGGACAAAGCTACAATTCAGGTGGCAACATTCAGCTGATCATTGGCTGATCTCAAAATAACCAACCAAGCAAATTTTAGTACTTGATAAAACACCAGGATATCCCAGGATTGTAGCTTAAGCTGGGAAATTAAAATTAATTAAAAGCTATTCCCATATTATTACTTTAAAAACTACAGGGATTATTCACATTGTTCCTAAAAGTTAAACCTTTTATAGAACAAAGGCTGAAATGGGCTTTAATCTCAGGACAGAAATTAATATTTTTGAGAATCTTTCCATCCCCTCTTTTGAGAAATATTCATAGTAAGAACTGTTAAAAATTTAATTTCTTCTCTCCCAGTTCAATCAGCTACAAATAGATATGTTGCTTTGTTTCAGTTCAGCTGCTATGATGCAACCACAACCACAGAAATGCAATGACCTGGTTTTCACAAAATCTGGGCTTGCTTAAACATGATTTATTTATTATCCCAATAAGATGTTATACTGAAAATCCCATAAATTCGTAAAGTGTTTTGTTTAATTGTGGCATAGTATCTTATATAAGTTTCTCTGCACTCAAAAGATCCAGGAGGTCAGTTTTCTTTAAAAATGGCTAGTTGTGCTATATATCTATTACTATTCTTTCTCTTGGCACAAGACACATTTCAAAAACTGCTGTGCCTTTGAATGTTGCTTCATAATAAGCACATCTACACTTACACAATATTTTGCTTTTCCTGTTGGTATCACAGCAAACCTCTAGAAAGTGTTATCGTCATTTCCATCTGAAAATGAATTGGGATAATGTTTCACTAAGATTTATGTTCAGTGATTTAAAAAAAAGTAACTTTTTCAAGGAGCAATTGATTAACATTTGTTAATTTAATTGCATACATAATAATTATTGAAAAGTGTTCTTTTCATGATCTCAGTTTTTACAGTACATTTGATTAACATATTTTAATCAATTTCTGCAAGGTAATTTACAGGAAAATAAGCAGATTTAAGAAATTAAAACTCATGCATAAAATTCAGACTAAATTATTTGAACTAGAATTATAATCATATAGTTCAACTTTACCAGAGCCTGGTGGTTTCCAGATAAAAATTGGGAGACCCTGGGTTTTATTCCTGCCTTAGGCACAATGCCAGCAGGGTGATCTTGGGCCAGTCATTCTCTCAGCTCTAGGAAACAACCAGTGGCAAAACACTTTGTACAATGTCTATGGAGAGTCTTACTCATCCAGGCCATGGTTGTTCCAAAGGTGCTTTTTTCAAAGGGAACTGGATTTTCTTGTTTTACTTGAAGACATTTTGCTCCTGATCCAAGAAGCTTCTTTAGTTCTGATATAAATCCTCCCATTCTCCACCATTCAATCAGAACTGAAGAAACTTCTTGGATCAGAAGTGAAACATCTTCAGGTAAAACAAGAAAGTCCAGTTGTCTTTGAAAAAAAGCACCTTTAGGATACTTTGAACAATTTTGCCAAGAAAACTGTAGGGATTTGTCCAGACAGTCTCCAGGAGTCAACAGTGACTCAAAGGCAGAAACAACAACAACCCTTCCCCCACCCACCCACACATACATACTTAGATGTGATCCTCTTGATTTTAATTGGATTTAGACCTTATCCAATTTTGTTTCAGCCACATTTATATCTACCTCCATTACTACCACTACAAAATTGGATGTGACAAAAATTCTGGTGGAATAAGATTAATCAAGAAAGAATGTGTGCCAGTAATTCTATTTATCAGTTATACCTTTTAAACAAGAGTCTGTAGCATTGATAGAATTCTTGACCATACCTAGTTCACGTTGCCAATATTTATTCATTACAAGATACCTATTATAAAAAAACATTCTTCAGAATAGAAAACGTGTTAATTTCACCAGGATCAATGGCAGTTAAAGATAGGCAATTTTGACAGAATAATCTTCATTGGGTAGCAAATTAATTTAGAATTTGCTGATCAATTTATTGCTTATGCTGAATTATCAAATCCAGGTACACTTTAAACTGGGAAGACATTAATTAATATAAGAAAATGTTAAGGTACAATTGGTTAGGAAAAAAATCCATGGGGACATTTGATAGAAGTTTATAAAACCAGACTTGAGCAGAGAGAACATTTTCTTCTTTCATACCTATTTTGGGATTGTCCAAGAATTATTCTGGGAACAAAGTTGTATATCTTAGTATTTTTTTAAATGAAATTCTAAAGCGGTGACAGCCACCGCTTTAGTTATGTAACAGTCAGCAACATCGATTGCTCTGGTTCCTCCAGCTATTGTTCACTTCCCTTTCCTACTCTGGTGTTCAGTGTTTATAAGACTGTTGCTGCAGGTTTTTTTTACTTAAAGAGTTACAAACATGAGCCTCATCAACAGCCTAAAGAATTTCAACTGTTGAAGCATGAATGTATGTATATGAACACAACTTCTTTTTTGTGTGGAGCTGGTTGGATTTTGGTTTCACAAGCTCCCACACCTAGAAAAGGGCTTTATTGTTGGCATAGATTAGAATATTGATTTAAAATTCAGCTTTACAGGTAACTTTCTACTTGCTAAGACTCTAAGGAAACTCTTGGTTCAGAAACAGATTATCTTTAACAGGGATTGTTGGAAAGCAGGACTAAGGAGAGGTACTGCCTCAGATCCTGCTTGTGGTTTATCCTAAAGCAGCTGAAACCATCAAGTGAAACCTTCTAGTTTATGTAGGAATCCACATTAAAGTGTCCTAAGTAACTGTGGTTGGATATTCAAAGCTGGTCTATAGAATCCAGAGGCCCAACTGCCTGTCTTTGAGAAACTGAATAGGAGTTTAGCAACATTCTCTGTTGGGGTCCTTGGTGCTCTCTGAGTTTGGTTAGGTAACATCAAACATTGCTAATACTGAAGATGCTACCTAGTTTGGATCACAAAATATCTGCAAGAAGACAAGCAAGCTCAAGAGAGCACCAACGACCCCTCATTTCAACCCTAAGCTACAAATATTCTCCTTTATTGGTACGTTCTCTGGTGTTCAGTGGCTTAGTTTTAATCAAATAAACCAAAAGTAAGCTAAATAATATTGAACTAAACAAAACCAGGTTTAAAAGTTAGTCTAATAACATATTAATTTTAGCAGCATTAGGAAAGGCCAAGATAATGTTAGAAAAAACTGCCTAGCTTGCTTTGCATGAGTTTTGTGATAGTTGAAGGTTGTACTCCATGAATTGGTAAGTATTTGGGTTTAAGATGCTATAATCTCTTTAGTGTAAATGATTTCTTAAGTTTAAACACATTACAGGAAAAGAAAAGAATTACTCCCTACTGTGGTATGTTTAGTTAAGGGCGTGTAGGCAAAATACCAGAACTTTTAACACATTTTTTTTGTTAAAAACTTAACTTTGCCATTATATATATATTATAAGTAATGTGACCCTGCACACTTTACTTGCAGAAGTGTAGAGATTACACATGAATGGTATATTTGTCAAAGGTTTGGGGATGGATTTTGCTGTTTTTTCCCCCTCTTGCATAAATTTGTAGATATACTCTTACCTGAAAGATGAATATGATGAATGAATGGATGGGTAAGAGATAGACGATAGATGATGGATGGATGGATAGATAATATATTTATTTATATCCCACTTTTATTATTTTTATAAATAACTCCAGAGGGTGAACATATCTAATATTACTTCCTTCTATTTTTTCCAGAACAACCCTGTGATGTGGGTTGGATGGAAAGAGAGAGACTGGTCCAAGGTCACGCAGCTGGCTTTCATGCCTAAGGCACAACTAGAATTCACCAGCTCCTAGTTTTTTAACCTGGTGCTTTAACTACTAGACATATAGATAACTATTCCTGCTTACATTTTTCTTGATTTGACTCATCTACTCACTGCTGCAGCTATTGTTCCGGTAATAGGGTTTCCTTGCTATAGTATTATTATATTTCCTAACAATGGAGGATTCCCAGTTCAAAATTGGCCATATAAGTATTTCTTTCCATTTTCCCCATTTTCTTTTATTGATCTACTAGTGCCCTGGTAGAAATGCTGAAACTTTTTCTTTTATTATTGACTCTATTTCAAATAAATTCAATAATAAATCCATTGCAGTGTTTATACATTTGAGTTATTTCTTTCCATCATGTCATGATTAAGCAGATGCTGAGCATTATTTCTTGGAGATGCTTTAAAATGGATTGTAGAGGAGGATTGACCTAGATGCCCCCCTCAAACTCTTATCATAATAAAACACATCACTAACCATTGTTTGTGGGTGCCATTTTAATATTGTACCTCTATATCACTGAGAGTCACTTTGGTGTAATGATTAAGGTTGTAGGTTATAAACTAAGAGTGGGAATTCCAGGCCCAACATAGGTATGAAATCAACTGGGTGACCTTGAGCCAGTCAGTCTCTCTCATTCTTAGGAAGAAGACAATAGCAAACCACTTCCAAAAAACCTTGCCAATAAAACTACAGGGACTCATGTAGGTGGTTGACAGGAATCAAAACTGACTTGAAGACACTACATTCTGTCTCCTCTCTCTCTCCAACATTTCAATTATCAGCAGAACAGAAAAAGAATATAAGTAAAACTGAAAGTCAGCTTCACTAATTTGCTCATCATTTGTTAGTTTATGTTTTGCCTTTTTGATTCATCTTGAAGATATTTGACACATTTTAGTACTTTCCAGAATTTTTAAAGAAAGTTGTGGGCAAAGTATTTTAAAGTGCTTTTAGACCCCTCTATGCATGCATTTTTCTCCGATGTTACTTTTGAGATATACTTGCAGATTAAAATGCTGGTTCAGGATTGAGAGAGGAACATCCAAAATGATTATCTGAAGAGTTATGCACAAGTGTGGCAGAGGTAAAAATGTTAGGAAAAACTATCTTGAATCATATTTGGAGCCTCCCACATTCTCACATTTTCTCACATTCATCAAGCAAAATGTCGCAAATAGGGTAGGATGAAATCTTACTATCCCATAGAATAAGGAGCCAAATTAAGAAGAATTATGAGACTTTATGTATTGGAGATTATCTATAGCCATCAAGATTAATAGTCATGATATTCTGATAACATTTTGCAAAACTCCTGATCCACATCTATGAAATTCACCTGTCCTTTTTGACATGAGGAGAATTACCACCTCCAACATTACATTTTGCAACATTCAAAGCAGCAACTATACTATGTATTCATATACTTTCATGCTTTGTGGTCTGTCTACATTTTTTTTTTTGAAATTTGCGCTTTGTCTTCAGTTATCCATTGATTGGTTGCTTTGTTCTGTTTTTTTTTTTTAAATGCAAATGTTTGAAAACATCATGGGGCCTTGATGTCAAGTTTCTTCTTGTAGCCAGTCTCCATTGCTACAAGTGTATGCTGGAATTGCTCTGCAGAATCAGGCTAATATCAATTTTAGCCCAGCAGGTAGCCAAAAAGCCTTGCGGCATTCAGAAGCTATTAACAAAGACATTACTTTCTTTCTTGGAGTTGTTCTCCTGGGGTTGATATTTGGAGGCATGCTGCCCCCAACCCAGAAGTAATGTTGTGTTTCAAGTCTTAGAGTCCTTGATAGATAGACCTCTCCATGAAATTTATCCTTTTAAAGCTATCCAACAGTCAGTGGTCATCACTATATGTGTAGCAATGAATTCCACAAACTATTGTATATGCTTTCATATAAAATGACCCTGGGGCAAGTAATTCACTTGAAATGAATGCAGCACAATCTTTAGAAACTGACATATATATATATATATATATATATATATATATATATATATATATATATATATATACACACACACACACACACACACACACACACACACACACACACACATACACACACACACACACACACACACACTTAATGGTTATAATGTGGTTTTAACAATAAATAACTGGAGTATACTCTTCCCGGAGATCGAAGATTGCATCATTATATATATATATATATATATATATATATATATATATATATATATATATATATATATATTGATGCAATATAGCATGTGAATATTGGCATATCATTTCGTGCTAGTATATTCCAATAGTTATGGTAGTTACATTACTGTATATACCAGCCACTTCTATTAAGGGCTGTAAATGGCTTAAACATTTTTATATATTTCAAAAAAGTTGAAAAAAAGTTAAAACATTTTAAAAAATCATAGAATCCAAATATTAGTAAATCCTAATATTTAACATTCCAAACTACAGTCTAAGACATTTTGTTGGCTAAAGTGGAGAATGAAATGCTGTTCTTCTTATTTCACTACTTCAGAAGAACAAACCGATCATTCTGTATTTAGATATTCCTTGACATACAACCATTCAAAGTTCTGACAGTACTGAAAAAAATGGCTTATGACCAGTCCTCATGCAACCATTGTAATATTTTGCGGTTATATGGTTGCCATTTGTTTCCTTCCCAGCTGGCTTCCAACAAGCAAAGCCAGTGGGAAAGCTAGCAAGGAAGGTTGAAGTTGCAGTCATGTAATGTCTTGCTTAATGATCCCAGCAAAGATGGTCAAAAAATTGGGTGGGGTTGTGCAATGTTTGCCTTAAACCACATTGCTTAATGACAATTTTTTTGGTCACTATTGTGATTGTAAGTTAAGGACTATCTATGCCAGTGATGGCGAACCTTTTAGAGACCGAGTGCCCAAACCGCAACCCAAAAGCCACTTATTTATCACAAAGTGCCAGGGCCGCATCAACATTGTGGTGGCCTTAGGGGGGGGGGCAGAGAGGTACCTCTGAGTGCCGCCTCTGGCACACAAAAACTGGGGGTGCAAAAATGGGCCACCATGCTGCAAGGTGCAAAAATGGCAGTCACCACGCCACGGGGTACAGATACAAGGCACTGCACCATGCAAGAATGGGAGAAGGCGAGTATCATGCAGGCAGTAGCCCCACCCCATTTGCAGCACGTGCATGCTTGCGGCCCTGTGCATGTAAAATGCTTCCCCCTCCCTTTTCTTCCAGTCCACCAATCGACAATGGTTGGTGACCTCTGCTCTTACCACCTCCACTTGAGCTTGCTAGTTGGCCACTTTGCCTCCTTTGTGTGCTGGGCGGAGTTCCTACTCTGGGCAGCGGTGATGGCCTGATGCACCTGCTGCTGGCGACAGTGGCATGCATGCCAACAGAGAGGACTCTGAGTGCCGCCTCTGGCACGCGTGCCATAGGTTCGCCGCCACTGATCTATGGTCTCCCTAATTCACAGGTACCTTCCAAACTAAAGGGAGCTGCTTGGCTCTGCCTAATGGTAGAATGCACTATTTGTTTGTCATTTTTCTCTGAATGAGAACATCTGAGCATGCTGGAAGCTTTGATACAAACTTAAACCGATCTGTGGAGACTAGGCTACCGGTCTGCCTTAGAAACAAGAAACAAGAAGACATGATTCTGTGCAGTGAAGAGTATCAGCTTGATTTAATTTCCTAGTCAGTTATTGACAAAGGCATAATGGATTCTGATGAGACACTCTGTCTTCATTCCACTTTAGGACCTATCTGAAATGAGGTCATCTGTCTGGTATCAGCATAAAATGTTATTTGCAAGCAGCAAGGCGAAGAAGAGAGAACTGGGGTCTCTGGCATTACATGATGAAGAGGCTCCAGACAACAGAAATGAAATATTTCCTCTACTCTGTGACTCTACAAGGCAAAAGCGGTGTTTCAGCCGTGTTAGCATGCAGATTGCTTTCTTCCAAAAGGATCACAATCTCTTCCAATTAGAACATTTGTTCAGGACTGCTCTGAAGGTAGAAACTATGCAGAACCACTGGGAATAATAGTAGTAGTAGTAGTAGTAGTAGTAATAATAATAATAATAATAATAATAATAATAATAATAATAATAATAATAAAGTTGGAAGGGACCTTGGAGGTCATCTAGTCCAACCCCTGCTCAGGCAGGAAACCCTATACCATTTCGGACAAATGGCTGTCCAGTCTCTTCTTAAAAACTTCTAGTGTTGGAGCATTCACCGCTTTTGGAGGCAGGTTGTTCCACTGGTTAATTGTTCTAACTGTCAGGAAGTTTCTCCTTAGTTCTAGGTTGCTTCTCTCCCTGATCAGTTTCCATCCATTGCTTCTTGTCCTGCCTTCAGGCACCTTGGAGAATAGCTTGACTCCCTCTTCTTTGTGGCAGCCCCTGAGATATTGGATATTATGGATTCCTTCTTAAAATCTCCCAGCCTCCTTTCAAGAAAGTGTTCAGGAAAAAGTGGAAGAAGAGGGAAAAAATCAAGATTTTTCAAGTATACTGTATATACTGTGCTGTGTTATATATAAAGGTTAAATATAGAAACTTCTGTGTCAATATCTCTTGATAAATTTGTTAGTTTTCCTAAAGTGTAGAAATCTCCAAACAACTTTTATTATAGTCTTGATTAACAAGAGGAAAATACATATATACCCACCCACCTAGCCAGTCATTGCATCAATATTGTATTTTTTATATTGTGAGTAATAACTAATGCACATTAATTGTTTTACTTTTCAACTTTACAAATAAATTTTAAGAACCCTGGAATACAGTTGCCAAAAAAGCAACTTAGAGAAGGAACAGCAGAAATCTTTCAAAATTATTTCCTTTCCATGATGGAAAAAATATCACACATAAATATGGTTGAAAAACTGATTTAGTTAGGCTCTGTAAAGTTGGATAGAGATATTTAATTAGTGATTATGGAACCATTATGGAAGTTGGTCTAAAGCAGTGTTTCTCAACCTTGACAATTTTAAGGCATGTGGACTTCAACTCCCAGAATTCCACAGCCAGCATTGCTGGCTGTGGAATTCTGGGAGTTGAAGTCCACATGTCTTAAAATTGTCAAGGTTGAGAAACACTGGTCTAAAGTAATGCTTCCCAAACCTGAATAAATTACCTAAGATCAGGTGAATGCTTTTTTTCTGGTAACACAAATCCATTACCCATCATAACAGGGACTTTTAAATTGACTTAAAGATTGCCATGTCCACTAAAACATATTTGAAAGTTGTTAAGCAACCAACCAAATATTAATAAAACATTGCAAGAAATTGATAAAAGGAATAGCAAGAGTTACCACCATGTTGTTCTCACCTATTCTTTACCATAAATCTGTTAAAAGAAATACACAATCTGTATTGCTGTAACTAATTATGGATTTTATTTTTTATTTAAAAATAGAGACTTCTACTCCATCAGAAAATATCAGTCAGAAAACGTCAGAAATTTCTAGACATACAACTTGGGAATATTCGAGCACAGGTAAAACCCATAACTTTCTTCCTGAACTTTTCAGTTTTCACTCATGTATTATTTCAAATTGTAGTGATAGTTGTAAGGTAAAGGTCAAAGAACCTGTGACTTTCCAAATGTGGCTGAACTTCACTTCTTATTATGCCTGCCTGTGACTGGACTCAAGCACACTCCTGTTAACTGACCTTCATCCTTGGGAATTTGGACTCTTTTTTTCCCGGAAAGAAACACTTTAAGATTGATGTATCTTAAAACATTGTCAGCTAAAGTATGCTGTTTGTCATGTATGGGTGGGCTACATTTTTCAATCCAGACAGGTATATGAAACAGCTTTGTTGCTAGATATAAGCAGCATGGGAATTAGCCTCTGGTGAGCTGAAAATATCACGTAGCAAAATTCTGAAGGCTGCAGAATATACAGTATTTAGATTGATAGAAATATTACTCTGCTGGCTGTCTCCCATCTTAGTGTACATAAACCAGATGTATTAGCTGGATAATTACTGATTTGGATGTTTCTAGGCTATAACACACCCTCGGTGATGTGAAGGAGGACCCCCAACTTTTGCCTCTCCTTATTTCTCTCATCATCTTGATGGAATGTAGAAATGCCAATCAATGCTGAATGGATGTGATGAATGGATTTACAGGTTTTTAGGTTTTAAAGTATTCTGAAGGAGTCTGTGCTAAGATTCCAGAGAGTGTGTATTCTTCAGAAAGCTTATTGTCCTTAAAGTTCTGGCCAATCCATGTTTAGTATAGTTTAACTTACAAAATCTGCTGTCCAACTTCTCTATAAAGGGAGCTTCTAGGGTTTTTTTAAAAAATAATTTCTCTAGATGGTGGCACATAATGACTAAGATGTTGTTGCTCCTGGGTTGAGGTTCTTTTTCTGTTATTTGTTGTTTTCCGTTACATATTTCTCCATCATTTGTCACTTCTGTGGATGTCCCTTTTTTCAAATAAATCTTGAAAGGCTACATGGGAGGAATTTCCTTGTGTTGACTTCCTTTGAGATATAATTGAAGTTAAGAGATATGATTGTAAGGAATACGATTGTTCACTGACAAACAGAATCAGTGCATAAGCTCTTTTACCACTTTGTGATCAAGTTGTACAAAAAAGTTGCAAAAGATTATTGTAGCATGATAGAAAGAATGTGAACACATGGGCAAGTGATTTCACTGAAGTGGCTCAGATTCATTGGTGCTCATTTTATAATGTGGTTCTGAGTACTAAACTTAAGGGAAGTTTAGATGTTTATGTCTCTGAATGGTTTCCTGAACAGATTTCCTGTCAGTTGGCAGGCACCTTGTTTTCAAACATTGTTTAAAGGCTTCCTGAAAGCATCTAGATGGGCACTGGGTGAGACAGGATATTGGTCCTGAAGACAGGTCTTCCTTTAGACCCAGCAGGGTTCTTTTGAAACCCTTCAACTCTGTTGGACTTCTCTTTCCATGTAGCTAAGCAAAGATGTGTATTCTAAAATAAAACACATTTGTTCACATTAATTTTACCTCACCTACAGGAAGGGTGGAGAATATAGAACAGCTAGCAAATACTATAGACAATATGTTACTAAAAAGAGTCCAACTTCTGCAGAATCAGAAGACTTGTTAAAACTTTTAAAGAACTAATGCTGTTATTGTTCCTAAATAAGGTTATTCCTGTTTTCAATGTGTAGGTCAAGGTGGGAGAAACTTGCTCTAATGTATATACTGTTTCATTTTTAGAGATTCTGAAGGCCTTACAATAATCCAGAAAGAGCAATATAAAAACAACAATCAAGTAAAACAATTAACAAGTAATCACAACCAATTGATACACTGCCTGGGAAGTGGGGATAGCAAGATAATTCATCCCTGTGAACACTCATGCATTCTCCTTGACCTGTACCTTTGCACGCCATCCCTGGCCTGCATTGCACCTCTCAAACTCTCTCTCACAAATTTGCCATGCCTCTAATGAAGACATGTCAAACTCGCAACATCACATGATGTCGCGTGACGAATCAGGACGGTTTTGCCATTGCTGGCAATAGGGTGGGTGCAGCTTCTGGATGACACATTCAGACCGCGGGCCAGCAGTTTGACACCCCTGCTCGAATGCATCATTTGAGTTTTAGGCGGGGATTAACATTGAGACGGCCTTGGTTGTGCTTGTTGATGACCTTAGCCAGGAAGCAAAAGGAATAGCAATAGCATTTAGATTTATACACCATTTCACAGTGCTTTACAGCCTTCTCTAAGTGGTTTACAGCGTCAGCCTATTGTCCCCAACAATTTAGGTTCTCATTTCACTGACCTCGGAAGGATGGAAGGCTGAGTCAATCTTGAGCTATTGAGAATCGAACTGCTGGCAGTTGGCAGAATTAGCCTGCAGTATTGCATTCTAACCACTGCCCCACCATGGCTCTTCCAATGGCAGTAGTGCATCCATTTTTGTGCTGCTTGGTTTCTCAGTAACTTTTGGTACTGTTAACCTTGGCATTTTTCTTAGCTAGCTCTTTGGATTGGCTTTACCATTTTATGGAAGTTCTCTTCTCTGGGGTTAGTTCCAGTTGTTATTTGTTGTGGGACAGAGAGATCACTTTCTAGGCCCCTCTTTTGTGAAGTTATGCAGGTTCTATTCTCTCCCTCCTGCTTTTCAACATCTACATGAAACTGTTGAGTGAGATCATCTGGTGATGCCATTGGTTGGTTTGGGGTTCAGATTCCTCAAGAAGCTGATGATACTCAATTATATTTTTTGATCCTTTGTCAGCCAAGTGAGACTATTAATGCCCCAGTACCTAGAGGTTGGGTAGGTTGGAATGGGAATCATCTAGATTCAATCCTACTTCATTGTGCTTGCCATTTTTTATCTTTCATTAATTTGATTATAATTTGTTCAATTGATGTGAGTCACCTAGAGTCATTTAGAATCAGGTGGCATATAAGTTTAATATATTTTTATTGCTGTTATTGTTGTAATTATTATTATTTTGTGATATGGTAAGTGTGTTTTACGGCTTACAAAAGGAAAAATAGTAAAAGTCTGATGTATGATAAATCCTCAGTTTAGTGGACTTTAATTTAGAAGACTTCAGATACAACAGATATATTTCAATGGGCTAATATCTGTTAAATAGAAGGTTTGTCCACTAAATTGAGGGTATGCTATTTACATCAATTAATGTAAGACCACAAATGATATAAATTGACACAAATAATATAAATTAAACATTAGTAGATTTATAGATTTAACAGATTCTCCACCTCCCCTACACTTTATTGTTCTGTTAAATCAATATTTTCTCATAATTTAGATTATTGCTTATTTCCAAGGAATATTTGTTAGAAAAGGGCTTATTAGAATTATTAGAATTTTTTTTATAAATAAGAGATTTATATGGCATTTTCACAGCAAAAGGTCCTTTGTTACTCTCTTTGTAATGGTAAGTAATGGTTTAATATGTGTAAACCCTAACCTCATTAGCAATAGACTTAAATAGAGGATAACACATAGTATAAGCTGATGAGCATGACATGTCTTCAGTGATGTTGCTTTGAAATAAATCTAGTCACTTTTTTCTTAAAACAGGTCCTTCTTCCACTATGGAAACCTTTGGTCAAGCCGAGAAGCTCCCTTTTTTGAATGATACCATTATCATACAGGGTATGTTTTTCTTAACCTTCAACTTGAATATTGGCTGATAAGAGAGATGTAGGCTAACCTACAGTATGTACTACTTAATGTTATGACCATGTTTTCATAACCTTTATCTGGGTGAAACCATGCATCATAAGGCAACAATTTTTGAACCAAGGTACCTCAAATGGGATAACTTACAGAATGTGTCCAAAATCTGGGATCTATGACCCTGAGGGAATGAAATTTGAAAGGTTGTGGGTATTCCAGTGCTACTGGCTGCAGTTGCACTCCCAGGCTTCTGCTGCAGTCATGTGATCTTCATCTTTAATATTCTGTGACAATTCCCCAACCAGTCTCACAATCTTTCACATCCTCCTCCAACAACAACCCTCCCCCAACAACAGCAGCCACTTATCTGCAAGGAATGAAGGGAGAAATAGGGAGGAAGGAATCCTCCATGCTTACTCCCTGACCCATGCCACCTTCCCCCCATGTACTCCCTCAACCTAGGCTAGCTTCTGCATGATTTCTCTGACCCCCACTGCCTCCCTATGTGCCTTATCTTACCTGTGCAGCACCTCTTCACCCTACTGACCTTTACTGCCTTCCCACTCACTCTTGCCTTTCTCTGTGACATCTCTGGCCACGCCCACATGCTCTTCCCATCCCATGCTTGTGCCTCTCTCACATCCTTATGTACCATTCCTGATTTGCACCCTCTCACTTCCTCCTCCATCTCTACCATCCAGCAGCAGCCAATTACCTGCTGCTGGCTACATGGACTTCCTCCTTGCAAAGCAAAGTAAATGTAGAAGTTGGCAGGAATTCAAGGGAGGGAGGGAGCTTTCTGATACTCCCTGTCAGCTTCCCACAAGGAAACTCACAGGGGACGCCAGTAGGGAGTCTGAAGTGATCCCACTCCATTGCTTTTTTGTGTATTCTTGGTCATTTTATTTCTCTGTCTACGTAAGGAAATATCTCTGAAATGATGACCCAAGGGGGAAAGGAGATGTTTAGTTATTGTATTTTTGAATCAGCAGTAAAATTTGAGGTAATTTAATACTAGCATTATATACCATTTCACAGTGCTTCACAGCCCTCTCTAAGCAGTTTATAGACTCCGCATATTGCCCCCAACAATCTGGGTCCTCATTTTACCGACCTTGAAGGCTGGAAGGCTGAATTAACTTTGAGCCGGTGAGAATTGAACTGCTGGCAGTTGACAGAACTAGCCTGCAATTCTAACCACTGTGCCACCATGCAGTGGTTAAAATACAGTAAGAATGTTTGATTCAATTTGTTTAACTAGCTGAAAGCTTGGGCAGAAATTGATGAGGAAAAAAAAAACAGTTCCTATGCAAGGGTGAGCATTTCATTATGTAGGTTGTTAGGTGCTTTTTTTTTACACAAGAGGTTGTCAAATCAGCATGCAACATTCCATTTCATGGTTGTAACTTTAAATTTTGCATGGAATTTTTCACTGTATAATAATCAGTCGCAAATAACCAGGAACATTTCTGGAGTTCAAAGCACAAAAGAGTTTATCATTGCTACTAATACAAGAATCTAGTCAACTAATGATCGAAACTAACTTGGTGCTAGATAAGGGTCAACAGAATTCATGGGAAACCGGACTTAGGTCTCTTGTGGCAATGTAGTAACTCTAAACCAATGACACATTTAAACCTGACTTCCAGCTCAGCTTGCTCTCCTCCTAGTCTAGTGTGGCTACCAAAAGGTCTGAGGCAATTCGTTTATTTGATATTGAACTTCCAGATCAGATGACATCATGATTTTGAGTTTTCTTTATATTTGTTTCCATCTAGAGGTAATCTGGAATTCTGTACTCCTAATATGGTAGTTGTATTCATAAGAATTTAAATTGCTTTGATTTTCTGAGTCACTTCAAAATGGTCAATATCTTTTTGTTAACTTTGTTAAGTTTCCAGGTTTTTTTTTTTGCCAGAGCAGATTCAAAAAGAATTTCAGTCTCCAGTTTCTCATGTTGAATATTTGCAAATGGATTTTACAGGCCAAAAGGATGAGCTATATGGAAAATATCTGATTAATAGAAACTATTTTTCAATCTTTTCCTGTAAAGAAAGGTCAAAACGATTAGCAACAATGAAATTACAAAGGGTTACATTTTACAGATAAACTAGTAAAAAGTAAATGAATTGCCCCGTCCTCAGATATTGCATCATAGGTCACATATTTTCATCAAAGAACTACAACTAAATAATCATGTAGCCAGATGGGTTATTTTTGGGGAGAATATTTTTTTAAAAAGCATAATTTCTCTGAGCAAGTAGCCTGTTTCTTACATATTTTTCTTTTAGATTTCAGAAAATGTACAAACCCACATCCTCCATGTTGTCCTGAACAGCAGACGTATAGATATAGATAGATATAGATATATAGAGATAAGGAGATATAGAGATAGACATATAGATATAGATGCCTATACTTATTTTCCAAACCTCCAAAAGGCAAGACAAGAAATGATGGAAACTAATCAAAGAGAGAAGCAACTTGAAATTAAGGAGAAACTTCCTAACAGTGAGAACAATTAACCAATGGAACAGCTTGCCTTCCGAAGTTGCGGGTGCTTCATCACTGAAGGTTTTAAAGAAGAAACTGGACAGCTACTTGTCTCAAATTGTACTATAGGATCTTCTGCTAGAGCAAGGGGTTGGACTAGAAGACTTCCAGCTCTTATTTGATTGAATTAGATACATATTCAAATGCATACGCATACATGTATGCATATACTGTACATACGCATATACAGATGATATAGATTAGATAAAGATGTTGATAAAGATGGAATTTAGCAGGTTGGTGCATAGTATCTTGAATACAGATCATCTTGAATCTGACATTTCTTGCCTGGTGCTCAGAGCCCTGTTTTCATTTACACTGGAAGTTATTTGGGGCCAACACTCTGACTGAGGAAGCTATTTTAGAACTTGGAAGACAGCGTTTTCAGATTTGAAATGATTCCTACTCAGCCTTTTGTTTTTCACGGTATTAGGATTTAGCAAAGCCCAAAATAGCAAAAGCAGATTAACATCACATTGCTTGCACCAGTTAATCTTCAAGATTCTAAGTTACAGCTTCCCAGTAGATCTTTTGCAGATCAGAGCCATATTGACTGCTACTATTCTGTAGCTGATTTTATTGGTAAGTCCCACTTAGCCACTACATCAATGCAATCTTACAATGACTCTCTGAAATAGTTTTCTTAGCATAACTGACTTCTCCCCTTTTCTGTCTCCTCCTTTCCTTTAAATGACATATCCCCAGCTCGGCCTTCTTGGATTCCATTGTCAGAATTTAATCTTTCCCATTGTCTTCATAGACTCCACTACAGCCTTTTTGCCTTCCATGTCTTCTACTGCATCAGCTTCCCACTTCTGACTGCTCATGATTCACCATGATCATTTTCTAGCACTATTTTGACATATCGCACCAATATATGATCTGTTGATTCACATTGTAAGAGAACTCTCCCCCCCAAAATGCCATCATTTTCTGTTCAATGATGGAAGGTGGGAAAGATGTGGCTGTGGATAAAGTAGTGCTTTCCTGGTGGTAGACATGTAGACATCTGATAGAAACCATAATGCATGTCATTAGATTATCATAAAATTATGCAAATTATGTAATTTGATGTAATTTGAGCAATGAGTTCATGGTATGCATCATTCATCTCCTTCGTAGTCTGCTAGGGATTAATAGTTCTGTGCAGGGTGCATTCCAAGTGAAAAAGATCTATGGCTAAACCAAAGTCCTGTTCATTTTAGTGCATTATCTGAACTAATAGAAGGGAATATTTGTAGCTCAGAGTTGAATTGTGGGGTCCTTGTTTCTCTCTGAGCTTGGTTGTTTTTTTTCCTCAAACGAAAGCAATAATTACAGGATTGTGATTTGAATTTCTGAAAGTAAGTACATCTTTAAAAAATAATTGGTGAACAATTAGATTTTTTTCAGCTATCATTCATTTTGTAAAACTAGATATACTGATGTGGCAATTTAGCATTCTCCTAAATTTGGGTATCAGGAGTGAAGAATTAGATTGGATTCATCTGGAACTGGTTCTCCTTGAAGTTGTGACAGGCTTCCAAATTCAAAGTCAATAGCAAATTCTGGTGCATATGGATTCTGATGACAGCATAGTTTATGCCCACTGTTAAGCACAGGCTAAAAGATAGGATAATAACTCAAGATCTAGTGAGAGACCATGGCAATTGTTTTATGAGTGAAATGTTAGGTATACAATATTTTCCTGTCATTGTCTTACTAAGGCCTTTTTAGGAGCCATTCAACTTCTTCTAGAGCAGAGGTGTCAAATTGCTGGCCAGTTTCATCATACCGAAGCCATGCCAACCCCATTGCTGGCAATGCAAAAAGAGTCATGGTATGTTGCAACACATCATGTGACGAGGCGAGTTTGACACCCGTGTTGTAGAGTATCTGAAACAAAGTTTCAGTGTGGCATGTGGGACTGCAATATTTTAGAAAGCTAAAGCTTTTAATTGCCAAATTCATCTGAATGTGCTAATTGTTTTGAAAAGTTCTTTGAATAATACACTCATTTTTTTTGCAATTCTTTTGTTTTAATCAGGAAGTGTTATCTCTTAACTCTTCTCCATAGAATTTCCCAAAGTTTCTCAAACAAAAAGTATCACATTAGAGAGTCCAGCTGAACTTGAACTAATGTGTAGTTTGGTCATCAGCAACACCACAAACGTGGAAAAAATGGAGACTATTTGGAACTTAGGAAATGCAACTATCAGTTCGGAGACCATCAGGAGGAACGAAACTCACTCCAAATGGTGCACTCGATACACGTAAGTGGCTTTTATGTTACACATTGATATTGTTTAAAGTAGAGAGGAACAATCTCTTAGCATGGAGGGTCACCCTAGGAGGGTCACCTGAAGTGGCTAAAAGACTGTCATGCAGAACCGCTTTAAAAATCCTTAATAAGGCCATACCCGGAATACTGCATTCAGCTTTGGTCACCACATTATAAAAAAGATGTTGAGACTTTGAAAAAAAAAAGCACAGAGAAGAGCAACTAAGATGATTTATTTATTTATTTATTTTCAAATATTTATATGCCGCCCAATCCCAAAGGACTCAGGGCGGCGTACAAAGTTAAAACAATCATAAAACAATAAAATAATACAGTCATACCACGAGTCCGATCATATCCCGTCCCCCCGGGGACATCAGCCCCAGGCCTGCCGGAACAGGAGAGTTTTAACGGCTTTCTTAAAGGCTGGCTCAGGAATTCTGGGAGTTGAAGTCCACGAGTCATAAAAGAGCCAAGGTTGACTACCCCTGGATTAGAGGATGACTGAGGTCCTTTCCACCTGTAGTTATCTGAACTATGATCTGTTTGGACTAAATATTTCAGCCATCATAAATCTGCATTTGTTTCAACAAACTGCTTGCATGTCAGCATTTATCAATCCAGAACATTGCTGTTGTACTATTTTTCAATTACTGTTTTCATATTTATTTTCTTTGTTTTTACTTTTTTACTTATTAAGTATCAATTGCTTAACTATTTTTAAGGGTAAAAGTCAGAAACCAAGACCAGATGAGGAATTACACATGCATTTATAAAACTAAACCAGAGATAAATGCTACCTTTGTTTTACAAGGTAAGATCCAAGAATTTACCCTTCCCAAAACACACCGTTTATCAGCAAACCAGAGAATTGGCCCCCATGTTTTCTGCTCTGCCATATTAAAGTTCCAGACGTGCTTTTTCCAAAAGGCAACTGGAGTTTCTTATTTTTTTTTTCCTTTGAAAACATTTTGCTTCTCATCCAAGAGGCTTCTTTAGTTTTTCTGAAGCTTCATGAGCTGAAGAGGCTTCTTGAATGAGAAGCAAAAATTTTTCAAAAGAAAAAGAAAGAAAGTCCGGTTTCCTTTTGGAAAAAGCACCTTTTGGATAACCATGACCTGGATGATTGAGAATCTCCATAGATTGTCATACAGGCAATCCTCAACTTACAACAGTTCATTTAGTAACTGTTCAAAGTTACAACAGCACTGAAAAATATTGACTTAGGACCATTTTTCACAATTATGACCTTTGCAGCATCCACATGACCAGTGATCAAAATTCAGATGCTTGGCAACTGATTTATATGTATGACCATTGCTGTGTCCCAGGGTCATGTAGTCACTTTTTGCGACCTTCTGACAAGCAGTCAATGGGGAAGCCAGATTCACTTAACAACTGGGTTACTAACTTATCAACTACAATGATTCACTTAACAACTGAGGCAAGAAGGGGAGTAAAATGGGGCAAAAATCACTTAACAAATGTCTCACCAATAGAAAATTGTGGTCATAAGTCAAGGATTATCTGTATTAATATTATAAGCTCTCCACCATCCCAATTGAAAAATCCATGAAAACTTGGAAAAAAACTGGACCAACCACAGAAGTCCTCAGTGCTACCAGCAACGTGCACAATTTTTTTTTAAAAAACAAGGCTAACAAAACGTTGCTTGTAATGAATATGAAGCAATTGGAAATCAAACTCAAAAGATATATTTTTCTCATTAACGTGAAGGAGTAATTTTGCTATACACCATCAAAATACTAAGTTCTTTTAAGACATAACTTAAAACATATCAAGACTGGTTCCTTTAAATCTAATTTCTTTTTGTTCTTCATTTTAAGATTATTCCTCCCTCTCTTCAGTCTGCGTGGAATGTCGCAGCAGTTTTTACTGTTGCTGTTCCTTTTTACCGATAATACAATATCATCTGATGTAAAATGATATTTCACTGAAGATGTAACTTAATGAATTATTGAGATGACTAAATATAGAACAGTGATGCAGATTAATGGACTCTATCCATTAAACATTAATAATTCCTTGTTTTTTTATATACAGCCACTGATTTTTAAAACTGAGCAAATGCATTTTGAAGAATCACTGCTGGGGCTGTAAATATATTCACTTTCAATGCTATTGAAATTATTCTACTTGTCTCTTTGCAAAATGATGTTTTATAGGATTAGAGTTTGGACACTGTACAGTTTAAATGTGAATTTAAGCCCTAATCAAGCATCAGACACCAAAAGAATTCGACTTCACTGTTCTTTTAGTTGGGTCAGTTCTTGAAGTCTGATGTTACAACCTCAAGGGAATTTCTGATATGGGTAGTTTCCTGCAAAGCCCTATTCATTTGCAGAAATAGCTATGCATTTCCAGACCGATTTGCAATATTCTGATAGGAAAAGCTCTATCATTTTGATAAGAAAATTGCTTTTTCATGATAGCATGGACATTTGGAAATAAAAAATTGAGTATGGAAGGATTAAAGATCAACACTGATAGTCAAGGATGTTTAAAATTGTCTGTTTGTATACTAATCCATATACTGTAGTTTCGGCAGTAGAACTGCTGCAAAAGTGCTAAATCAAGAACAATGTAATGGGTTGTTGTGTATCTATCATCCTCACATAATCATAACTAAGTGTTTCATAGGCATTTGTTTCATTGCTTAGTGTGAATCATAAAACAATGCATGCTAAGAAGGAAAATTTCATTAGGATAAAAAAAAAAATCATAGCCAGCAATATTATTCTCTGCAGCCGAATGTTAATCAGACTGGAAAGTGGTAATGATCAGATACATTTTATTTTATGCTGTATTTGTTCAGCTCTAATCTATCAGTGAGATACGAGCAATATATTTCACACTGCTATATTTTGTGGCTGGGTAATGGTGTGAGCAAAATAAATTTGCTCGAACCAGGATGTTCTAAATAGCTCCTCATACTTGGCTCTGGCAAGCTCAAGTTTTTGTTTTCTCTTGGTCAGGAATTTTAACAATTAGTTTGCAAAAACTGCTTTTTGGTTTTGCTGGCTTGTTGTTTTTTGAATGAGAAAAATAGCAGAAACTAGGTTTCCACAGTTATTGGCTGCTGGTACAAAAAGCCTGGGTCATGTTAAATTAGATTATCTGCATAACAGGGAAAATATTCAGGCCACCAGAACAAAACACACACAAACCGCTATCTGCACGCTCTCTCACACCACCACCCAGCACAGATCAACTCCGTAGCCAAGACACTCATCTCTAGAACAAAATGCTTAGCTGATGAACAACACCTAAAAACTGAACTACACACTCTCACTAATGTACTTACATCCAATGGATTCCAAAGAAATAAGATTACCAAACTAATCCAAAAAGAAACCCCCACTAAAATCCAAGAGAGAACAAGAAAACAGCAAAGCCCTCCTCCCTTACGTAAAAGGCACCACAGACAGAATCAGCAAGATCCTCCACAAACACAACATTAAGACAGCATTCTGCACAAACAGAAAAATATCCACCATCCTAAGAAACCCCAAAGACAAAACTAAATTAGAAAATCAAGGAGTATACGAAATCCCATGCACCGCTTGTCCCACCACATACATTGGACAAACCAACAGAAGAATAAGTGCACGCATTGAAGAACATAAGAACTCAGTCAAAAAAGAGGAACCAACTTCTTCCCTGGTCCAACACCTTAAAATCACAGGACATGAAATTGACTTTAAAAAGACCAGAACTATCGCCAAAACTGAGCACTTTAATAACAGAATAATCAGAGAAGCCATCGAGATAGAAAAACACCCACACAGCATGAACAAACGAGATGATACCTCCTGCCTACCAGCCATTTGGAAACCCGCCCTTATTGACAAACGAGTCCCTAACACAAAGAATGACACCAGACCCACACTCACAAAAGCCACACAGGATGTCACCACCACACGTCCATGCAAAAAGCAAACCCAAACCCACACCGATGATGAGGCATGACCACAAACCAGAAACTAAACAATAGCAATGCAGTGCACCATCTCACATCCCCGTGCAAATCAGACTAACCTGAGCACAACAAAGCCCCCACCCAAAGAGAACATTCCCCCAACCAATCAGAGCACAGTCAACCCCCCATCCAATCAGAGACAGCCAACCCCCCCATCCAATCAGAGCACAGCCAAGCTCTCATCCAATCAGTTCATACCCCCACTGGCAGTTAAAAGGAAGAAACAGCTGCGATCACACATTGCTCCTAGAAGCACGAAGCTGAAAACACCAGCCTGAAGATGATGAATGAGACTTCGTTGAAACGTCGCCAAGACACTTCCAATTTGACGCGGGAGAAAACCCGAATAACCAAAGACCCCACACAAAGCAAACGGACACACACCATGAACCCAGAGCTAGACTGCAAACTCGGAGCCAAACCAAAGCCCAGTATGTTACTTCACAGCCTTCTGCCCTGGACATCACACCACAGAACTCAGGAGGTTACAGTGCTAAAGCTGAGGATGTTACAACACAGCCTACCACCCAGGATGGTGCAACACAGAACTCAGGATATCACTACACTAGATCTCAGGATGTCATCACACAACACATTACCCAGGTCGTTACAACACAAAAGACTAATGGGCACACAGCCAGCACCTCAGCTACTCAAGATGTTATGAAACAGCTGAACAATCCACAAACAATAACTCCAACACAGCCAACCAACCTTCCTACAGTAACTAAGCCAGCACTCTATCTACAGAGATAGAAGAGGAATTTATTTCATCTGACAACTCTCTCTTCAGCAACTTAGGGAATCAGAAGAAGCAAAGACTAAGATCTCAAACTACAAAGCAATGGCGCTGCAAAGAGAACAAAAAAAAAACGTTTACTGCAGAGGAAGGGATTTATATTTCTTCAAAGATTACTACAAGCAACAAGGATGGATTTATTGGTTGAAAGGGAAAAAAGACGTTTACTGCAGAAGAAGGGATTTATATTTTCTCAAAGATTATTACAAGCAACAAGAATGGATTTATTGGTTGAAAGGGAAGCACTTTTATGGAAGCCTGTGTGGCATAGAAAAAAACCCAGAATTAGACTGAAAAAGAAATCTAAAACTGTTTAATGGATTAAAAGGCAATGCTGGTTTTATGGATTGTTTTAAGGATAATGATCTAGAGTTAGAAGTAAGAAAAATTCAATTATATACATGTGTATTTAAATTAGTTAGATGATTTTTTTGCTTTATGGAAATTTGCTTGGTATAGAAATATGAAAGTTAAAATTGGGGTGGAAAAAAACAAAACAAAAAAGAACCTTGGCTTTATGGATTGTATTAAGGATAAAAAATATATAATCATATATGTATGTATGTATGTATGTATGTATGTATGTATGTATGTATGTTCTGGAATTGAAAAAACGTTTAGTTATGAGAATGGAATTTTGAAGTGCTTAAATTGATTAGGTAATTTTTGTGTATAACAATATCTGATAAGGTATGATAATTAATTGGATGGAATTTGAAGTTTGTGTAATGAATTGAAAGGAATTAAGGTTTAACATTATTTTTTCTTAATTAAGTTAGTTATTATTGGAAGAAGAAATGAATGAGATTGGTTATAAAAAGAGGGATGAAAGAGATTAAGAACTTAACATATCTGGTAGAGATATTTGAAGTAATAATTTGTTGATGTAAAACAATATTTGATTATAGTAATTGTAAATTGATAAAATTTTAAAACAGGTTGAGTAGTAATAGGAATCTAAGCTAGAAATGGAATATATTAAATTTATTATGTTATCTGTGGGAAATAGAGAGATGACAGTGAATGTATTAAGTTGAGCGGTTTATCTATGTTTTTTACTTTGGAATGTTTGTTTACCCAAACACCACGCTGTGTCTTAAGAACTTTTTATTAAAATTAAAAAACCAATAAAATATATTTTAAAAAAAATGTAATTCTGATGCCCACTCTCAAAAATTGTGTGTGTGTGTGTGTGTGTGTTTGTATTAAACAGTCCATTTTGAATACTTAGCAGAAAAAAGAATCTTGAGAGTCAACAAGGTTGATTCTATATGATATAAAGCTATTACAGAATATAGTTGTTCTGCTTCAGGAACCATGAAGTCTTCTCTAAGAAGGTAACAAAGAGGATGTGTAGTGTCCCTGGCAATACTGAGGACCCTAGCATGCGTCACTTATATGGATAGAAGGAAGTGAACTTTCATTAATCTTTCCTGCCATCCTCACTATCTTCTGCACAGCCTTCCTGTCTGAAACAGTAATGCTTCCAAACCACACAGTAATACGATACAACAGGATCCTTTCAATTGTCCCTATCTAGAAAGAGGTAAGGATAGGGGAAGAAAGAGTGCTCTTCTCATACGACATCACAATTCTTTTTTGTTTTTCCTTAGTGCCTCAAGTCCATGTAAAGTCTGAGCATATAATCAGTTATGTGGGTGACTCCGTGGTCTTGACTTGTGTTGTTGGAAATGGGAAAATCCACATTAACCCACATTTTTGGACCTGGTATTCAAATAATGGAAGTGGAGAGGTAAAGTTCTGTTTCCTTTACAGGAGGAATCCAACCCCCATTATTTCAAGATATTTTTCAAGACATGCTTTTGTAATATAGCCATTTTGCCCAAGCCTAAGTCATTTGCCCAAGCTAGACTGTGAATCAAATGTTCATAGATTTTGTTGGGTTTTTTTTAATTTCCCTTTCACATCTCTAATATTTCACTGTTATAATTTTCCTCCTAAAATCTTCATTTATATATTTAAATATCTATATATTAGAATTTCTAGTGATGTATGACTTTATGATGAAGTTTCTTCACTCTTTTTTCTCCTGTCAGGTTGTTATTAATTCTACCCTGATGCCAGAGAAGTACAGCTTTATCAAGACACATAAGAACATTACCAAACTGAAGATCTTTGATCTTTCTGAATTAGATAGCATGTCTTACTGGTGCAAAGCTGGATTTCTACTAGGTGAAAGCAAAGGAAAAGTATCTCTCAAAGTCCTGACCTATCTGACACCTCTCAAACCATTTCTTGTGATAGCTGCTGAAGTTATTGTTTTAGTAGCACTTATTTTTATCTATGAAGTGTTCTCCAAAAAGAAAGAAGTGAATACTGGTAAGATATGGAGGAATAACATATTCAAGTATGTTTCTTTTATTTGGTATATTGTGTGTGATAAGAACAGAGGATGACATGAATGGTAAACTTATGCTTATGACTAGAGCTTCTTGGGGATCTCAGGGGCTATGTGTTATGTCATCACACAAATTATGCAGATAAAATAATTTGCAGAGGTATAATTTGTGTCATGATGTATAATGACATGTGGAACATTAATATGGCCTCTACCAGAAGTCTGAGCTGATATGTTCCCATAATGTCTATAATTCCTGAGACAGGATACATAATGTAAGAGGAATTGTAGGAACTTAGGTCCAACAGAATGGAGCATGCAAAGTTAGGAAAGATTGCAGTAAACCATAACATTAGGCAACTTTTTCTTGGTGGATGACTGTACTTTACTTTCATGTAATGGTCCAGTGCTACATTTAAAAAATGAACAGAGTTCTTGCAAGCAAGAGTGGCCCACACAATAAAATGTGACTACACCATGACACAAATGGCATGACTTAGGTACATATATCAGACATCAAAACATCAATGTAAAAGAGTGTCATCTGTATGCATGTTATCATTTTGGCATCGCAGATGTTGCTGACAGGGTTGCTTTCAGTGGGAAGAAGCTGGACAAAATGATTTCTCCATAAAAAAGTATTTTCAATTTTGAGCCAGCAAGCAAATGATTTATTTTGTCCATGTGTGAAATTCTAGCATATGTCGCTAGCGAATTGTATTGCTGAATTTGCTGGGGGGGGGGGTTCAGCAATTATTGCAGGAAAAACATCAGACAGTACATTATGCCCTTAAGTCCTTGACTGCCACTCCTGCTTTACCAGATGATTTTCTTCTTCTTTTGAAAGCCATTCATAGTCAGGGCACAAGTAACTGGACATATCTGCCTCTCAAAACATCTCTAAGGAAATGGTACTTATTTCAAAATATCTGGGTTTAGTGTTATTCAGTAGAAAATCAGATGATGAGTAGAATCATGAAGATGCTATATTTTTGAACAAGATAAAGGTTTTGTATGTGCTTAAATATTTCATGTTTTAGAATTGAACTGGGCAAGGAGTTGAGTTGCATTTTCATTTTGGGGTTTTGTTGCATATCAGAAAGGGATATGGTGGACTGGGAGAAAAATGTTGCAAATCCTAAAATAATATCTGTGGCCATTGAAAAGGGAAACTCATGCCATAAAATTGGTATATATGAAAATACAAATTACCTTGGTTGCAGATTATAGTGCAGAAGAACACTTTATTCTTCATTCCTACTTCATGTTCATTGATATCACCTGAAGAGATTCACCTTCAGGCACCTTCTTTTATAATTGTGCCTGATGGCTGGAATACACTCCTATGGATATGGGTGAGGGGATAGGCAGTAATCCCATGTATATCATGACATCATCCTGCATAAGAACTGCATACTTTGTGCCATTTATGAGATGATGTCATGACATGCATGATGTCCTTGTAGCTTAGACCAAAAGCCTACTTGTCACAATGATTTTTTTCCAAAAAATATTCAATACCTACCCCCTTTTTATAAGAGTTATCACTTATCAAGGGTTTTAATTTGTTGCTTTAGTTTTATTACTTCTCCAATTCTTATTTTATGTTTTATTATATTATTACATCTTTATTATATAAAGCCGAGAGATTTCAATAGTTGGCTGTATTAAAAAAATTAACAATATTTAAGTCAATACACAGTAAAATCACCTAGTCAAACTATAGAGAGGAAAGGTATTAATATTAAACTAATGTGGTTGTTAACTATACCGGTAATTAAATGGGCAAAGGTCTTCTGCACACTAAAGGAAGAAATAGCAGCTCTTTTTATCTTGCAGGATTAGTGGGAGAAGTATTTCACATAATGTAACATGCTTGCACCTGTAACATTCCATTTTTGGAAATTTGCCCTTTCTAGTCAATATCTTTTGTTATCTTGAGGCATGATTCCTTTTGTAGAAAGATTTTGTAAGCAGTCATTTTAATCCATTATATTAACTATACAACTGACTATAAAATCCCTTAAATTCATAAATAAATAAAAGGAATAAAATTATGCACAGTTTGGTCTAGTGGTTAAGGCATCAGGATAGAAACTGGGACGTTGTGAGTTCTAGTTCCACCTTAGTCTTGAAAATCGACTGTGTGTCTTGGGCCAGTTATTCTCTCTCAATCCTAAGAAAAAGGCAATGGCAAACTACTTCCAAAAAATGAAAACATTTAGTCTAGACAGTCACCAGGGGTCAAGACTGACTCAAAGGTTTGGGTCAGGCTTGAAATATTAAATAAGTAAGTGAGTAAAATATACCAACAGAAAGTACAAATCACATTGATTTCTTTCTTTTTACAGAAGTTGAAAAAGAATTTGAACAAGTAGAAACATTGTAAGTAATAATAATGTTCTTGTTGTAAAGTTAAAGCAATAAGTTGAAACACTAACAGATGACAACCAACACCATTACAATTCAATTTTAATGGGGGTTGGACTTCAAGTATTAATTCTGTCTCATTTGTGTAGTAATGGAGTGGGAGGAGGGTTAGTAGGAAACTCACTGAGCCTCAAACATATGCCGAGTCTTATTAAATGTAAAAATACCAAGTTGTTTATTTGTCTGCTAATGAAAGTTGAGTACAAACAGTCACGTTTGAACATTACTGACTCTACTTGCCAAATAGGAAAAAAAATCTACTGCAAGCTTCTTCTAATTTAATCTAAGCTTGATCTTTTTTCACATTTAAGAGGCATTCACTTGAAATGTTATTTTGCTTAAAAATAGTACTAGTAGTATCAGACTGTTTCTCCCTATCATCCAAAAAAAGGAGATTTTTTTTTAATGAACAAAGCAGTTGAATAGGCAAAATACACTTTGCTTCCATGCTGCAAAGTCATATTTGCATATACATATTTGCAAGAGACCAGAGACTTGCTTAGAGCAAAACTGTTACAGGAAATGGTGGCTTTTCTTCTTGTTCTCTTGTTATACTATGCTCAACCACTCACTCAGGCAACCTACTAAATACAAAGCCTAATAATTCTTAGGGTTTAATTTCCTGTGATTGTGAACTAGTTAGTTGCTAGGATGAACAACCCAGTGAACCAACTGTCTTCCCAGAAAAATTTAATCCTACAAGCCTGGATAGCTAGTCAGCACGCACACAAAAACCATCCTTTTAAATATCACCAAACTAGTTGTCATTTTGAAACCATTCTAGCGTATAAATAACAAACAAAGTTCTAATTCTGACTTCTGACTTAGAGATTCTTCTGCAAAGTTCTGACTCTGACAACTGTCAGAGTCTCAAGAGTATTGAATGTGCAGAGTTTCATTCATTGTCAAGCATGTTTCTAGGGCAGCAACTGTATCTTCAGTTCTCAGTCCCATGTTGTCTCTGAAGAGAAAATTCATGCCATATTTTGAAGCCCTTCCTGGGTTCTCTTTTTTCTGGCAAAGTGACAGGCCAAAGATAACATGGAACCTGAGAAACCAGAGAAATCTAAATGCAAATCTAATGCTTACATCAGATGATTATTTTATAAAAGTAGAATACAGATGCACCACATTAAGTTTATAATTTGTTCTAACTTATCCTATAAGGTCTAAATTTTAAATTATTATGACTTGGACAATCTATGTAGGAGATCTTGTGACTCTCATTTCAAAAACCAGTCCTTTATATACTTTTTATATTGAGGTCCAGGGTTTTGGTCCCACATCTGTGGGATCAGACTTCCTGATTGATTCTTATCTACAAGATCCAACTAGACTATAACCAGCCTACTTTTACAGTCTATTTCTTGACTTTGGTAGAGGTCTTGTGTAAGCTTATTAGAGGCATTAAATCCATCCAATCTAGAAATTTGAATATAACTTTCCATTCCAGATGTTGTTTACATCTTGACCTTCAACAAATTTGAATATAACTTTCCATTCCAGATGTTGTTTACATCTTGACCTTCAACAAACCTCTTTAACCAAATACAGTGTACTTCTGTCAGTCCCATATCTTGATCCTCAACTTGATAGCTGATGTTGAGAAAATTTCTAATTCAGCCTTCAACCGGCTTTATTTCAAATCAATGCATTAAAGAGAAATATGCCACAAACAACCAAATTAAAATAGAACACGAATACATCAAAAAAGTACTCTAGGAAATCCCACTAGATCTTGTCAATGCCTCATATGCATTGTTATGTAACCACACGGGACTAGCTGTGCTTACTTGTTAAGAACATTGAAGAAGCTCTCATTTTCTGTTCCCCCCCTAGGCTGAAAAAGATCACCTACAGTTTGAAGCTTAGAATTTTGCTCCCTCACTTGCACTTTTATAGAAGGAGATGTGAAGATTGCTTTATTCCTTTACAGATATGTACAGATATGGTCTCAATTATATAGTGTATTTCTAGAAGATATGAAGCCTCCTCACGGATGGCTAGTCTCTACTTTTTAAACCACCTCTCATGTCTCTATTCTGCTCTATTGCTGGAAAAGTTTAGCCAAGCAAGAGTTAACAATGGAAAAACCCATGTAAAGATGAAAGCCCATATTGAACTTAAAAAAAAAAAAATCCATGGTGGAAAAAACCTGAACCCACCCTTTTTTATTCTGTACAGGAAATCAGAAGACAGCAATGGTATGGAGACTAGTAGTACCCGACACAGAAAAGTCTAAATCCCTTGTGGAAAACTGGTAAGTTAGAAGGTAAATCTGAGAGATCCTGTACCTATTAGTGGCTGGGTTGTTGAAATAAAGAGTTCCAGCTCATTTTGGGACTGTCCGATTTGAAAAGGCTGAACAAACATTAAAGGAATGTTCTGGTACTTATTTATTTTATTCAATTTATTTGCACCCATCTCACACAGGCAGCTTTGGGTGCCAGACATAGATCATCATCAAAAACATTGATGTAAGAATACAAGCTGAAAATTAAAAATGAGGTTGGACTGGAATAAAATGAAAAAAATGGCTTACCTAATCGGCCAGGTTTTAAGGACTCTCCAAAAGATTAGCAGAGATAGGGCCATACTAATATTGGAGGTGGAGGGAATGGTGTTCCAGGGAGCAGGCACAGTGATAGAAAAGGCAAACTTCCATCGTCCCTCTAGATCAGAGGTCCCCAACCTTTTGGGCACCAGGGACCAGTTCCATGGAGAAAAGTTTTTCTATGGACTGGTACCAGTCCATGGACCGGGGGTTGGGGACCCCTGCTCTAGATGACACTAGTTCTGTAGATGGGAATCAGAGAATGCTGTTTTGCCAGATTGAAGGGTCAGGTAGAGACAATGAGTGAAATAACCTAGCTTCGTGCCCCAAGATATGTATTTTCTTGCTACAGAACTATTCCCATTTTAGTTTATGAAACAGTTTAACTCAGTTCAGACTGCCATCCTCAGTAGGATGGATAGGGGTTGTTTATGGGATGTTGGTTTTTTTTTTTTTTTTTTTTTGGACATAGGAAGAATAGGATTTTATCAGTTGCCCCACGGATGCTCATTGTATTGAATTACAAATGACTACCAGATAAACCTTGAAAAAGGAAAGACAGTGAGGTAAGAAGATAAAAAGGGAGTTTTTCCATATACAAATAGTCCTCAATTTATGACCACAATTAAACCCAAAATTTCTGTCGCTAAGTGAGACATTTATTGAGTTTTTCCTTATTTTACAACCTTTCTTGCCACAGTTGTTAAGTGAATCACTGCAGTTGTTAAATTAGTAACATAGTTGTTAAGTGACTCTGGATTCCCCATTGATTGCTTGCCAGAAGGTCGTAAAAGGTTATCACATGACCCCAGGACACTGCAACCATCATAAACATGTCAGTTGCCAAGCGGCTAAATTTTAATCACATGATCATGGGGATGCTGTAATGGTTGTAAGTGAAAAATGGTCATAAGTCACTTTTTTCAGTGATGTAACTTTGAACCGTCACTAAATGAACTGTATGCAACAAGAAAAACTGGGGCAGAGACATGCATGGAGAGAAGAAGCCCCCTACTGATTTTCTTTTTGAATATATGAAAAACTCCCTTTTTATCTTCTTATCCCACTTCTTACACCCCCCCCCCCCACACATACACACACCAGCAGCAGCTGTATTCATGCTGGAGAAAAAGTGTGGTGGGAATTAGTCAGAAACATCTGAACAACATCAGATTTGGAGATGGCTGTCTGTCCAAAGCGCAGGTTATATATAAGAAAGTAACATTTGTCATCTCAGTTGGAATGTTGATTGGGAGCCGTTAAAAGGAATTATCACCAAGTGAAGGACTTTTGATTAGTCTATGAAAGGCATATCAAATACTGCTTTAATGTGCAGCTGTGCGTGAGTGTTGCCAAGACAAGCAAAGAGGGGAAATGACATCACAGCTGTCCTGATGCCACTGTGGCTTCTATCAGACAACTGTGCAGGTGAGCAAGTGTTCTGTTTTTTTATAGCTCTGCATACATTAAAAAAAAAAATGCTGGTGGCTGCTAAAATGGGAAGTGGGATAGTTGAGACTTGACTTAGAGTTTGAACAACTATCAGCTTTAACCAGCACCTGAAAGGAATACTACTTTGAATCAGATGGTATTACTGCACTTCTTTAATCTATCTGTTCTTTTTAATTTAGGCAAAATGAAAAGAAATGTCAAGACTGCACTGGATAAAAAAAAATTCTGAAACAGTGGAACTATATCTACTTGGTTTCCAATTATGGACTTTTAGGTGTCTTAAAAAATACTGCTTTAAAATGCCTTTTTAAAGTAATGAATGTATTAAATAATGCTAATGTCATACAGATTGTCCTAAAAGTTTTAGCTAAACTTATGCTATAGTCCAGTGGTTCTTAACCTTTTTGAACGAATCGCCCCCTTGAGCCAATGAGGAAGTTGTCATCGCCCCCCTCCCCCAACATAACCTCTCAATCACAACATAGGAAATAATTCTTCAATTTATGCAAACACTTTTTTTGTTTTCTTTAAAATTGTCATCACGACATATCAATGCAAATATTTATTTCCAGTCTTTTTCCCATATCTCCCATATTCTGGCCAATGGTGCGCCACTGTATGGGTAGATACTGCTGTGCAATGCACATGAAGATAAGCGATGTGTCTTCACATATGTATGGCGTTCTGTACTGAAGCTAGCTGGAGGAACATTTGAAAACACAATTAAATCCAATAATAGCGAGCGATCTGATGTTTTTGTATGACAGATATACAGCGATTCACTGCACGAAAAAGTTTCAAAAGTGTCCCCAAAACTTCTTGCTCCATCACCCCCTTTTCGTTCCATCGCCCCCCTGCGGGTGCAATATTGCCCAGGTTAAGAACCACTGCTATAGACTATACTCTTTTATATCTGTTCAAGCCTTTGGCTGCAATTAACCATAGCTTAATATTAACTTTTATTCATTTATCTGAATATGTATATTGTATATGATGATCAGCACCTACTTGGAAGTACATGTAGTCCTCAATTTACAACAGTTCATTTAGTGACTGTTTGAAGTTACAATGTCACTGAAAAAAAGACTTATGACTGTTGCAGCATCTCTGTGGTCAGGTGATGAAAATTCAGACACTTGGCAATTGACTCACGTTTATGACGGTTGCAGTGTCCCAGAGTCATGTGATCATCCTTTGTGACCTTCTGACAAGCAAAGTCAATGGGGAAAACCAGATTTACTTAACAACCATGTTACTAACTTAGCAACTGCATGAGTCACTTAACAACTCTGGCAAGAAAATTATAAAATGGGGCAAAATTCACTTAACAAATGTCTCACTTAGCAGCAGAGATTTTGAGTTCAATTGTGGTCATAAGTTGAGGACTACCTGTATTCTATTGCTTTCTCTGTGCTGGTAAAGTTATAAGCCATACAAACCAAGTTTTACAAACAAAAGTAAATTACAAAGGACTTAACATTTATATTGAGAATTAATATATATCTCTAACCTAGAACCAGTTTAAGTGGCAAATATCTTTAGCCTCCAATATTTTATGTCAACCAAGGGTCACCCGTGGAATCTCAAAGCATTTTCTCTTTTCCTTTTGTAAAGAAAGACGTTGGTTTTCTTGGAAGAGGTTATGTGACTGGTAGGGTTGTGCAAGGAATATGATAATTAAGTAGAAAACAAATACCAAATGGTGATAATTAAAGCTTGGATTTGGTTAGACTACTTCTCCAGAAGTACCATTAGTGGACAATAGCAATAAGCTGATGATATGCCTTGTTAATCTCATGGTTTATCAGTAGCTTTACCAAAGAATTGAGAAAATACACAAATATTCCTTTAAAATAGCTAATGAAGCCATAACGTTTCTAATGTGTTGTAATTGTCTTTCTGGTTCCCTTTGTTCCCTTTACCCTTTCCATTGTTTTTACAATAAATTCCACCAAATAAGAGAGATGGCTGTCAAATGTTTGACATGATTGAGCTTTCATGAAGTATTAACACAAACCAATTATAACCAAACATTTGAAAGAGTAATTATACATTTTCAGGCAACAGTGGAGATGTCCTATTCTTCCATATCCTAGAACATCTGCACAAGGCAAGAAGGGATTTTAGAAAGGCGTAATGGCTATCAAAGCATGTGATCAAAGCCTTGTCCTCTTTTACATGCATTGTCTTAATTGTGATAGTGCCCAAGTTATTATCTCACCTTGTAGAGAATCACAAAGATGAATTGATTTATAGAATTTATTAGTCAATATAATGGTTACTCCCCATCTCAAATTAATTTAATTATTAGTACTTATACTTTTAAGTTTTACTTAATCTTTGTCTCAACTCATAACAATATCTTAAATTCAAATCTTAATTATTTGTAGACGTTCAGATTACATTTAATATTTAATTTTTCCAAATTTTAATTAAACACAATTCCTTTATCCCAATTGCTCATACATTCTAATATTTAAAATACACACCTTATATATAACTTCTACCCTCTATCTTACCCATCTAATGACAATATAATATTCTTATTTCAACATATTTCTAGATTTTATATGACCAAAATTTTCTTTATCTCAAATCGTTGCAATGTCTTGTGTTCAGAATATATATTCTATCTATTTAGATATATTCTATTTTAGATCTCATATATAGATCAGAACCCCAATCTTTTTCAATCTTATTCTAGCTTTTTTCCTCTGCCAGGTCATTTTTCGTATTTTTGCCTTTAAATCATCAAAAAAATCTTGTATTGTTGTGGCTATTGTTTGATGTTGATAAGAACGTCCAGTTGATGTTTTCTTAAGAGGACTTGATTTAGCCGGTAGTCCAGTTCAATGCAGTTGTCCCAAAGTATTTATCTTCTCTTTCATCTGTTTTTCTTGTTTATCTTCAAATTCCTTGCATGAAGCTCAGCTGCTGGTGACTGCATTGCACGCATCCATGTTCTTGATCGCAATAGAACTTTGGGCAAGTTATAACAGTATATATACTCTTTACACACACACACACACACACACACACACACACACACACACACATACACACACACACACACACGAATATGAAAGTAATTGTCCTTTTCTTCTTTTTCTCCCAGTCTAACTTATCGCCTTTTCATCTTGCTAGATAGTCTAGACAAGAAGTGAAGTACTACAAGCTCTATATTTATTGCAAGGTTACATTAATAGAATCTTGCAAGTCTGAAAGTATTTCTCTTTCTTTTTACTCTCCAGAAATCTAGCAAGGGTCCCTTCTAAAACATTTCCCATATCTTCTCTCCTCCCCCCTTCTCCTTACACACTGGTTGTGCAGTCTGATGCTCTCCTGTTTTCCAAGTCATTCCCACATACCATTATACAGTGTGGAATTTCTAGCTGATGCTCACGCACTGGAATACTCATCATTATCCAGACCTGCTTAGTGTTTTCAAGATTAGCCCAATTATTATTTGTATTGAATTATTTCACAAAACTTTGACAGTGTCTCTTATTTAATGAACTAAGAGTTAATCATATACTAATAAGCTTCATGGTATCATTAGTCCTCCCATTCCCAATGTCATGCTTGTCAAGAAATTTCCCCTGTGATTCTGTGACATTTCCAACAAAACTGGTATATTATAGGCCATTAGTGTATTTTTTCATAAAATTGCTTCATATAAAAAATATTACTATATCTCCACCTAAATGTTGAAAATAATAGATTTTTTTAATGTCTTCATTTTAATCTACCCTATACAGTTACTTTAATTTATTCCATTTTATAATCAAGTTTAGGAGAATAGAATTTGTTATAGTTAATTTCAATGTAATTAATTTTCATAGTCGATTGTATATTCTTTTTTTGAATGTATGATTTAATCTATGCAAATTTAAAACAATTTATGATACAGTTTTTTCATGTATTTAAATACAGGTTCCCCTTAATAATTTTGAAGCCTTCTAGTGGAAATTGGAATCGTATAATTTTGAAGCCTTCTAGTTAAAGTTACGTTATATAATTTCTTGCAGTAATTCCTTATTTTTAATAAATTATATTAACATAATTTCTAGAAACTGCTTTGCTGCCCATTGTTCATAAAAATGGCAGAGAACTGGAATGCTTTCTATCATTTGAATTCAATGCTCCTTCTTCCTTACCTCCTGCCCAACTTCATTTTACCCTTTTCTGATAAGTTCCAACATTTATATCCTGAATTTACAAAGAATCAGCTGGAGTTTGATGAGGATGGAACTAATAGCAGAAAAATATAACTTTTTGAAAATCTGAGCCCTGTCTCTGATCCCAGAAAAAATAATTTGATATTCGCTGTGATTTTTAGTGGCTGTTCCAAACTGATAGGATTGCAAACTTTGAACTTTGAAAGGGCTATCAAAATTAATTAAATTCAAAATTTGGATCAATCAAGATGAACTCACAAATAAAATTAAAAAACCAAACATTTATAAAACATATTAATAGTTACTAGATAAAGCAGCAGATAAAACAAAATTAGATAATTCAGCAAAAACACATTGAAACAAGAAGGTCTTCAAGACAGAAAAGAGGCAATAATGAACTCTTAAGAAAGGACATTCCAAAAGGAATGAACAATAACTGAAATCTCCACTCATGATTTTATTGATTTAGAGCTACATTATATTAAATCTACGGTATAATTGCATTCTTTCTTGGGACAAAGGAAAGATCTGATCTTGAATGCCTTTTCGAGATAGCATTAAACAAGATCTGACTTCAGAGAAGTCAAAGGAAAAAGCATCTTCAGAATCATGGAGACACAGAATTTGGAAGGACCCTCTAGGCTATTCTGCAACTCCATATTCATTCCAGAATTCACATGGAAACATTCTGAATGGCGAATCCAAAGCTTAATAAATTCACAGGACACAATTCCCAAAGTATAGAAAAAATATCCTGTTTATAGTGCCAGTGGATGGACTGTTCAACCTATCTCAGGGTTAGCAATCAGAGAATGACAGTAAATAGTGAATCATCCTGTGCCATATCTGTTATCAGACATTGGTGATCATGTTGGCGATTCTGTTTTTATCAGCAGCCTCGCGAAAAAGTGCTGCTGAATTTTGTCCAAACCAGTCCCTTAGATTTTGAAGCCATGATGTTCTTCTTCTGCCTGGATCTCGTTTTCCTTTAGTCTTTCTCTGGAGGATTAAATGGAGTATGCTGTATTTTTCTGGGTATCACATCACATGTTCAAAATATTCTAACTTTCATTTTTTAGTTGTTTTGATGATTTCCCTTGCCTTTCCCAGGTTGCTTATCATCTCCTCATTTCTGATCTTGAAATAGTGAGTGGAGAAAAAAATAAAAGTATTTCTTCCTCCATTGTCTTTGTGGCTTCATATTATATCTATTTATCTACAGTAGTACCTGGAGAATTCTGGGATTTACTTCTGACCTGTATATAAAGAACTATACTTTTGATAATTTTAACTCAACAAAGGTTATCATTGACAAATTAATTTTCTC